TTCAGCCATCCTGCCACCTGTTGGCAGCTCAGCGGCAGCTCAGCTCGGACTGGGACTCAAACCGCTGTTGCTCAGAGCTTGCACGCTTAAGCGAGCTCTTAACCAACTGAGCCATTCGGCCGGTCCTTTGTGTGTGTGTGTGTGTGTGTGTGTGTGTGTGTGTGTGTGTGTGTGTGTGTGTGTGTGTGTAATACAAAGATCATAGACAAATTAACTTTGCCTGAGGTTAATAAAACCCATGATAATATTGATACTGAAAATCCAATGTATTGGGACATTGAACTTAATCCTCCCCATGGAGTCATTTCTGTGGAAACTAACTCGCCAAAAGAAAAATTTGACCTTCTAGATCATAAAATAATCATCTTCATTCATCTTTCCAAACTTATCATAATGTACAGATAATAGTAAAATGTGGGAGGAAAACATATTAACTTAATAATAAAAACTTATGATAATACATGTAAAGCATTGTTTGGATGGCTAGGATGTTTGCTCTCCTCAAACTTGTACCTGTCTAATATTGGACATTTCCTGCTCCTAATCGGTGTCACTGGTTTAATACTATTGTTCTTAGTCCTAGTTTGTAAATGTTGTACTAGGTGCAAAAAAACCTCAAAATATAAGGATAACAGAAAATGAACTCGGATCATGATAGCTCAAAGATTAGAAATGATCCAGAATATATTTAATGAGGACCGATAGGATCTGACTGCCTCCCATTTGCTCACATTTTCTTTTAAATAAATAATTCAGCCTTGACTGCCATCTGAGGTTGTAGTCTTACCCCACCCCCAATGGTCCAACATTCAGCAAGATAAATGCTGACACCAAGACTTCCTAGGAATGAGCCTTCCTAGCACCGTGGGACCACACTGCCCAACCAAAAGGCTGGTCATCAGTGCATCCTTCGGATTGATTTATGACCAAAAGGGGGAAATGTGGACGGAAAAGGGGCCACAGGTTAAACCTGACAAGCTCAGGAGATTGAAAATAACCATATAAGATGGTGTAAGCATAAACACTTTCATAACCAAGTGGGCCATGGTGGGAAGTCACATCTTTAGCTTCCTTCATAAAGTTGGTCTGTCTTCTATCTCTTAAACAGAGTGGTGGACACACATGGATTCATTTTATTATTTTATTATCTCACATATCCATCCCCTTTTGAGGGATGCTTGTCGGGTATTTTGCTGAATGCCCCTCTTTTTTGACAATATGAAATATTTGATGACTAAAGCATAGTTTCGCCATCTTTGTTTTACCATCTCCTTCCTTGGGTCTCTCACTTTTCATGAGGAAACTGTGTTTTATAGACTTCTATGCCAATGAGAAATGATGGCTCTCCCTTAGGAAGCAGAGGAGGATGCACTTCATTGTTTAAAATATTGTTTTAGTCTCCCTTGCACATACGCACATGTCCACACACACATTTATACAGGGAGGCACTCAGTGATGATGTCACCGAAATGTTGCTATTAGTTATCTGAGCATGCTGGGTTCAATGCGACTTTTTCCTCTTCGTATTTTCTAATGTTTCTCAAATATATGTATATACTTCTTTTTTTAAGGGGAAAGCAAACTAACTCATCCCGTGTGGTTAGATTTCAGAGTATTTTTCAAAGCCTTTAAAATTCTTGTAATTCTTTATGAACACCGTAGAATTCCAGCTTAACCAAATCCGTGAAGAATGGCTTGTTCTAATTAATTTACTTTTAGGATGAACTATGATTTAACTTAGAAACTCTTTTTTTTTTCCTAGACTATACAATCTTACTGTCATAGTTCCAGTTTTTTCTCTTTTGAAATGCAAAGCAATAAATAATAACAGTAATAATAATAATAACCAAACTGAAAAGCAAAGAAAATTATATCTTAAAAAGGCGTAATCATTTCCCTAACTGGTAGATTTGTTAAAAAGGACATTTGAGACTGTTCAGTTGGTCAATAAATATTTACTGAGCACCCACTACGTGGCAGGATCTGTATTAGATTCTGGGGATAGAATGGTGGCAAGACAAATTCTAGCCTTCATGGAGTTTACAATCATCTAGTATATTCACTGTACAATGTGTTTTACTCATAATTTTATGGATACATAGTTCTGAAAGACTTTGGTTGCTTTCTAGTGCTATTTTTTAGCTAATTGTTATATTCGTGCATTTTTATTTTATAAGATAAGCAACGTTATTAATTCATAGAAAATTATTCTTTGTATTGACCCAAATTGTCCCTCATTGACTTATAAACATTGGTCTTTGTTCTGCCTTTAAGAACTTTAGAATCAATTGACCATAGTAACCTCTCCCCTCCCCCATTTTGAGGGGTAGTTTCTCAAATATGATGAGAATTCTGTTAAGCTGCTTCTCTGGGACAGAACACTGCAGTTCCTTTTATCATTTCTTCTGCGACATGGTTTTTAAATCATATACCATCCTGATTGCTTTCCTCTTGTCGCCTTCTATTTTGTCACCCTTTGTTGTTAAAAATAAATTACTTCCAATTTCCTGCTTTCAGTAGAGTAGAGTGAACATAATTGACTCTTTGATGTGTGAGGGTCTGGTATCATCTGAAAGCAATTACACTGACCTTGAATACTTATTCTCTGTACTGTAAATATCATTATAGGAAAATATAGGCGCTTGTAGTAAATCTTCACCAACCCTTGGATATGAGTATATATTGGAAGATTTTTTTGAAAATAAGTTTATTTTTTTCTTATTTGTCTTTTTCTTTTGATAGTGAATTATACCTTATAAAGGTAACAAATATCAAAATAAAAAAATGATGAATAGTGAAATTCATCTGTTTTACTTCTCTAGTAAACAGTGAACTTTCTGAGGACAAGAATTATGTCTTATTAGTTTCAAAAAATCTCTAGCACTTAGCACAGTCCTAGATATACGTGTTGATGCCCAATAAATATTTGTTGACCAATTTAATGCCTGTATAAGAAATTAAGATTTTGTAAAATGAAATAAATTCTAATTTTTAGAATATATTGAAGAACCAATAATATAGAATTAGACCTTAATTATCTCCTAACTTGAAAAGAGTAACCAGCCAAAAAAAATGTATACAGGGCCGGACGAGTGGCGCGATGGTTAAGAACTGGCTTGAGACGCCAGAGGGCCCTGGTTCGGATCCCACATATGAGGGCCAGTGACACTGCCCTCCACAGCTAAGATGCTGAACAACAGCTCAACCTGGAGCTGGGCTGCCGTGAGTCGCCGGTGACAGCTAGGCTGCAGCCCCTGGGGCAGTGGGTTGCCATGGGCTACCATGTGTAGCCAGCAGCCAGCGTGAGCGGCCAGCAGCTGCAGTGAGCGGCAGTCCAGAAGCCAGCGACTGATCTGCCTCGCCCGGCAAGGGTGCAGTGATGGTGCCAACTTGGGCCGGTGAGGCAACGTCCTCCAGAACTAGACTGAAGAACAAAACGACAGCAACTTGTCTGTTCCCCTTCCCCAAATTCCCCAGCGCTGTTCCCATCCCCCCAATTCCCCAATAAAAATCTTAAAAAAAATGTATACACATTTTAAGAAAGAAAAACTGTATTAAAATTGTAATAATATATATGGATGACAAAAGATACAAGTCATGTGTATACATTTTTTTGACACCCCCATATTAGTTAACAGTATTCACAAAGAAAAATACTAGTTTTTGTGTGGGAATACTTTTACTTACAAATGACAGGAAACTCAATTAGCAGTGGCTCAAACAATAAGAACTTTATTATTTACTTAAGAAGACTGGAGAAACTGGTCTGGGGCTATTTGAGTATCTCAGTGATATCATCAAGGGGGCCGAGGCTCTGTTTATCCTTCTGTTGCCACTCTTGGTCTGTTATCTTTTTTATTTTAGCCTTATTGCCTTATGGTTACAACATGTGGCCCTGGCTCCGAACATTAAAACTGCATCCAGAAAGAGGAACCTGAGGATGGCCAAGGCTCTGAAACAGCCTCCTTGCATTTCTTTTCTCTGGGGAAAAATATTTCTTTCAAAAACCTCCCAGCAAACTTCCCCTTATATATAACTGGCCAAATTGAGTCACATGGCTGTCTCAAGGAAGCAGGCAAAGGAATAGGGTCTTGGGAATGACTATTGATTAAACAACAGTTATGCCGGAACTAGAAAATAGATGTATATTATAAAAACAGATCATGAACTTTACTAGTTTAGTGATAAATTCAGGGGAACCAAATTGTAAAGACCCTTCTAAAGAGATCACTGATAATATTGGGGTAAAATGATTATTCTACCAGATGAATCATCACCTCTCAATCACTTTTGGAAGAACTGATGAACCCAGTTATCTTTTCTAGCTTTTGTAAATTAAACAAGCTATATCTTTATCACAAAGCTATTTTTATTTTTTCCCCTTCCTTTCAGGAGTCCTATCCAAAGAAGAGGAATTACACTATGGAAATCATACCATCTGCTTCTCTTGATACGTTTTCTTCAGAAAACGAGAACTTTCTATGTGATCTCACGGACACAGCAGTTACAAAGAAACCTTGCTCCTTAGAAATTGCAAGAGCTCCCTCTCCGAGAACTGGTACTATTCCTACGCACAGTTCTATTTGCATGCTTGTATATATGTGGATGTATCATTAATATTTTTATTTTCCACAATATTTTCAAACAGAAAGTTCCCCATTAGAATCACAATAATATTTTTATTTTATTTTTTACATTTTGAAGTAAGAGCAGGTAAGTCAGAGTTTTTGATATGCGCTCTCATGGGAGCGGTACTGTCTTGGTGAAGGCACTTTGAAACCTCTTCATGGTGGAAAATCTTCTAGGCCAGATGCAAAGCTTCGGGTCCTTCAGACCTTCGGAACAGATTTGGCAGCAAGAGTCTTTTAATATACTTTTCTGCATCCTACCTGTTTTCAGGTTATCAAAGTGTACTCAGCTACTTTGTATATTTTATACCTTTGATGGTATTTTCAGATCCATTATTTTATTTATTTGCATTAAAAACCAGTGAACAAGGAAAGCAAATATGATGCCCATTTTACTGATAAGGCGACTGGAGCTAGTTGTCTTATTTAAGATCAATACATGGTGGGGCCTTTGCTTGACCCATGAGCGTTGGATTACCATCATATATGCTTACTGTTGCCTAACCATTGCCTCTAAGAAAGAGTCAGGGTACATGATATCCAATGAGGGAGGAAAATTTCAAGTGGGTGGTCAGCGTATTCAGTGCTGCAAAGGAGTTGTAAGAGGAGCTCTGAAGAGAGGCTGTTTTTGGTTTGACAATCTAATTGCTGCTTATTTTTGAAAAGTGAGTTTTAGAGGTGTTACACGATAAAACCAGATTTCTGGAAGTTAACAGCGAGGCACTGGGAAATGGGAAATAAGGAACTGGGAGTGGAGAATACAGATTACCCTTTCAAGATTAGAAGAAGAGATATATGATAATGATAACATGAGAGGAAAGAGTTACAAGGAAGAAATAGCTAGTTTATTTTAGGATAAGTAAGCTTTGGTCAAGTTTAGAGGTTGGAGGAATTTGCTGGTGGAGACCATGAGACTGAAGATAAACAACAGAAAGAGAGAGCAGAATCGGTAGCAGTTAATATTGAGCTAGTTTAAGAAAACACAGAAATTGCTTTCTCCAGAGAGACGAGCAAATAGAGCATTTCTATGAATATAGGGAGATTCTGAAATATGTATTTCCAAATGGACTGAATTTCTGGGTTTAAATAAAAGATCATTGGCTGAAAAGAAGTGCTAGATCTTAAGAAGTGTTAAAGTCAGAAATTCCATTTTAGATAATACACTAAAGAATTTTATAGAAGTGACCAAATAGGTTTTTTGGTTTTTTTTTAAGATTTTTATTGAGGAATTGGGGGATAGGAACAGCGCTGGGGAATTGGGGGAAGGGAAACAGACAAGTTGTTGTCCTTTTGTTCTTCAGTCTAGTTGTTGAGGACGTTGCTTCACTGGCCCAAGTTGGCACCATCATTGTGCTCTTCCCGGGCGAGGCAGATCAGTCACCAACTTCTGGATGGCCGTTCACACTGGCTGCTGGCTACATACGTAACCCATGACAACCCACTGTAACAGGGGCTGCAGCCTATGCCATCCCCAGCGACTCACGGCAGCCCAGCTCCAGGTTGAGCTGTTGTTCAGCATCTTAGCTGTAGAAGGCAGTGTCACTGGCCCTCATATGTGGGATCCAAACCGGGGTCCTCTGGAGTCCCAAGTCAGCTCTTAACCAATGTGCCACTCGGCCGGACCCCAAATAGGTTTTTGAGAAGCAAAAACTATAGGCTCATGTGTTGTATGACTCATAAGCCTGCAGAAGGAAGATTTTTAAGATGAGGTAAGAGCATAATAATGAACATAGTTAAAATTTATTGAGCATTTACTATTTGCCAGATACTGTTCTAAGTGTTCTATATATATTATTTCATATAATTTTTACAATGCTGTAAGGTAATAATATCACTATTCCCATTTTACAGATGAAGAAATTGAGGCACTGAAGTATTAAGTGACTTCCCATGGTTACATATTACTAAGGTGTGGATCTGGGACTTGAACTTGGTTTGTCTAATTGTGCTCTTAAGTACCCCACTGAATTATGTTAGGAGATGAAGTAGAGTAGAAATTGTGAACCAAGTACTGAAACCCTCAAGAAATGTGGAGGTATAACTGAAAGTCCACATATGATAGCAATAAAATCAGAAAAAGAATGTTACAGTAGGATAGCATGATCTTCAGAGAGGCAGCACATTTTGGACGAAGGCAGAATAATGAGTGATCCAGAACAGTCACGGAGAGTGCAGACAATGCTGATCCCAAACTATGGCAGCTGATAAGAATGAAAAATCTTCCATATGAAAGACCATGGGGAAATAGTGGGAAGATAGGGGAAAGCTCATTTAACTTAGGAAAATAGAAGGCATATATGTATGAAAATGTAAAAGAGCTTTAATTAGGGAACAGCAGGTGTCAAGGGTGGTGGATGCAGGAGTGAAAGAGACAAAGAAGACAGGGATTTATTGATTAAACAGTAAAAAACCAAACAAACAAAAAAAATGAATTATATTCTTTCATGTGTCAAGCACTGTTCTGCATACTGAGGACATAGGGATAAAAAAACAAAAAACAAAAAACACAGACAGGGTAACAAAGCTGATTAGGCTCAGAACAACTCTCCTGCTTAAAACAAATAAACATGGTGGATAAGAATGCAGAAAAGAAAAACTTTAAAAGCATCAAAACAATAACAGTAAAATTATATAAACTGAATAACATTTAAATTAGGAACTCTTTTTGTCAGTAGTTTAATAAAGAATAATCAAGCCAAAACATTGGTGAGGATGGGAAACCAGTGGAGCACTAAAGCCACTTTTGTTCTGAGGGAATTTGCTGAACCTGCTGTTGAACTTTGGTGCTCAAGGGCTCTCTGGGTTTGTTTACAAAATAATAAATCTCTGTGCTTGCTCAGCACAAAGGCTCCAAAAGCAATCCTTCCTCCATAGAGCGGGGACTCCAAGGGCTTCATCTCAGAGTAATCAGAAATAATTCTTCCCCATAACCGGCACCCCAACAGGACTACAAGAAAAGATACTTTGTTGTGAGCAGAACAAGAGGGGAAATTCCTGAGAAGTTATTACCACAAATGGGCCCTCACGCAGATTCACACCCAAAATTTATATCACCTTAGATGTTCCAAAGAAGTCAATCTGTGAATTTAGTTGAAAACAATACCCTCAAGAATCAAGCAGAAGAGGAATATACTCTCTTCTTAGGCTCCAAATAATTCCTTTAAATACTTATCCAATTAAATTTAGCAGTTTACAATAATTAAACCTACAGGAAAAGGAACCCCAAATGGGAATCAACAGAAACAAGAAAGAACAGTTCCGTACCTGAAAAGACTTCAAATATTGGAATTATTAGATAGAGACTATAAAATGACCATGCTATTGTAAATAAAAGATAAGCTTGAATGTATTTTGAGAAATAGAAATTAAAAAATGACCTAGTATATTTGGGAGGAAAAAATAAAACTACTAGAAATGAAAAAACAAAAAAACCAAAAAACAGTAACACATACAACAAAGAACCCAAATTTAAAACACAATGGATGGGAGAAACAGCAGATTAGATTTAGCTAGAAGAGATATTTACTGAGCTGGAAATTAGGTCAGAAGATTTTTCAGAATATTGCACCAAGAGACAAAGAGATGAAAAATATGAAAGAGAACCTAAGAGACTTGGAGGATACACTAAGACATTCTATCTTGTCTAATTAAAGTTCCAGAAGGAGAGGAGAGAGAGAATGGGGTAAAAGTAATACATTTATGAGGAGTTGATTTTCAACAAAAGCACAGGCCTGCCCTTGTGTTCACATGGAGGCTGACAAGTGAACAGTTAATTTCAATAGAGCATAACTAGAATAGTGTTACGTGAAGAGTGCTTTGGGAGCAGAAAAGAGGGGGATTTAACCCACCTGGGGGCTTGAGGAAGACTTCATGAAGGAAATGATGTCTGTATCAGTTGTCTATTACTACTTAACAAGCTGCCCCCAAATATATTGACTTAGAGGAACAGCAGTCATACATTTTACTCACAAATCTGCAAGTTTGGCAGAGTTTATTTGACTGGATAGCTTTTCTGTGCCACACAGTATGAGCTAGGGCTGCTCAACCGGGGGATAGAGGACCCACTTTCAAGAAGGCCCACTCACCTGGCCGGCAGGTTGGTGATGGCTGAGGCTATGGGCTGGGGCCATTTTCACTCTTCATGGACTGCTTGGGTTTCCCCATGACATGCTGGGTGATTCTGAGAGTCAGAATCCCAAAAGAACCAGGTGGAAGCTGTTTCATTTTCATAATCTAGCTTTACAAGGCACAGATTGTCATTTCTGCTATTGTTCCAAGCTCACTCAGATTCAAGGGAAGGGAACATGGACCCCAGTTCTTGATGGAAGGAGTATCAAAGTTACTTTATAATAAGAGAATATAGAATGAGAGAAATTTTATTGTCATTTTTGGGAAATACAATCTGCCTTCTGGGAACAATATTTTATATCCTCTCCTATGCAAATTGCATCCGTTTTTTCCTTCAGGATCGCCACACATCAGCCCTTTAGACCACAGCTCCAAGTCCAGGCTCCGGTGCTTGGGAGTCTCCCTGGTCCAGGAATGGCACAGGTCCTTGGTTACCTGTGCTCTTGGCAATGAGATGACCCATGAACCAAAGACACAATTTATCAGTCTCCTCCCCTACACACCCAATATATAACAGTGGAACAGGCATAGGAAAGTCCCAACAGACATTCCCTTTCAAGCACAGGAAGAATAGGGCACCCAGCAGTCACAAGTCTATGGCAATTATGAATCGAATCAGGCCTAGTTCCTTGATTAAGGGTCACTCCTACGGCATTGGAACTGTTTTCTGTGGCTCTTGGTTCCATTCTCTGAGTCATTCTTCCTTTTCCATAAAAAGTAACCCATGTTTATAGCTGAGTGTCTTTCTCACCTGCTTCCTACCTGTCAAATTTGCGGGTTCCAAAGACCTCTTCATTTTGTA